GGCGAGGTTTTTGAGCAGCTTTTAGTTTACGTTCAGGAGGGAACGGAGTTTGTAAAAGGTTTGAAAATATCCCACAGATCCTCCATAGACGTGCATTAGAAAAGTTGCATGGATAAGTACTGTAGTGTTGATAGTTGCATGTGTTTTGTTTACTGTTTTGTATCTCGTGTCTCATCAGAAACCTGTAATAATGAGTCATTGGAGAATATTGCAAACAAGACACAGCTGGATGAGATCGAGGCGTACACGAGCCAACTCTTTAAAATTAAAGAGGTTTTATCTCGCAATCACATGAAGGTGGCCTTTTTCGGCAGGTGGGTCTTGTGTTTGACCACAAGTTGCATTAAAGAAGCGTTTCACTTCCGTAAATGTAATAAACGTCCTCTGTTTGTTACAGAACAAGCAATGGTAAAAGCACGGTTGTCAATGCGATGCTGCGTGACCGTGTGCTTCCCAGCGGCATCGGCCACACCACTAACTGCTTCCTCAGCGTGGAGGGCACGGACGAAGACAAGGCCTTTCTCAAGACCGAAGGGTCCGAGGAGGAGAAAAGCATCAAGGTGCGGACAAGTGCATGCTTTCTCTCAGAATTTGCTTGGATAGGGCCCTATGATTTCTGGAAAACACGAATACAGTGAACATGCATAAAAAGTAGGGCTGTAAAATGAATTAAATTGCAATATGGACTACTGTCTGTGAATATTAAAGCACAAAGAGATTGATATATGAAGTCTTTGTGTTCTGATACACACAGAAAGACACAGATCTTAACCGCAACCTTTCAAAATAAAGGTTTGGCTTAACTTGAACAAATTATGACAGAAATACGTTACTGTTGCACAGTAGATTGAACTTCTCAAAGAAATAATAATAATAGTAATAGTAATAAATAATACCATTTATTAAAACACAGGAATTCTTCATGACAACCCATCAAAATAAAAGTTAACGTTATGAGAGAAATATATTAAGTTTTTATATATTATGTACTTCTCAAAATTCGATATTAAAGGCTTCTCTCATTGGGAAAGTTTAATTATTAAATTAAAAGTTCAATGAATTCAATTGATAATTAAAATTTAGTTAAGCAACAATCATTAACATGGAATCCAGAAAAAATAAAACTGAAAACTAGAAGTCGACCGATAGTGGATTTTGCCGATACCGATAGCTAGGTTGGACCACACTGGCCGATATACCGATTAATTAACCGATAGTTTTAAAATTGATACTGAGCAAAAACTAAAATAGTGCTTTATTAACAAAAACAGTACTTAACCATACTAGTAGTAGTAGTAAAAAATAATAATAATAGTAAATGTTGAAATTAACACACTCTAACAATGAACAATACTTACACAGCTTTCATTAATCTTAATGCTACAAATGGACTCTTATTTTAAAGTGTTACCATTTCATTTCAACAGTCATGCTTAAAGATGCACATCTTTAAATACTGTATATACACAAAGGCTATAGCATTAAAATTATATACATATGGATATTGTATGTATACTCTCAGACTTTAACTGCTTCTATTCTTGAACACTTGATGATTATCTAATCAAAATAAAAGCACAGCGCTAGGAGTCTAGGAGAACTCACCGGTATCACACACACTCCGGACGCATCGCGTTCAACTCGAGCAGTGGTCTAAAACAGTTTATTTAATCACCAAACAGACACAAGTTTACTTCAAGAATGAACAATTTAGCATAGATGAGTTTGAAGTTCGGTGTTTAAAAAACGGAGCAAACGGAAAGAGAAAGCGCGACCTACTGTATATTATAGCTCTATAAATGAAGCACACAGACTTTATTAGAGCCACAGAAAGACAAACGTTTGGCTGAAAATGCACAATACACAATTCATTATGTACATTAACAACGATTCGGGACCAATATAATGTAATTTAAAGGAAAACTTTGTGAATGGCGCTCTGGCGCGCGGCAGGATTTTCTGTCGGCTGCATTTAAATCCGCGTCTGAAGTTTCTGCTCTGTTCAGCGTGCAGTATCACATGTCTAAACAAATAGCACGTGCTGTCAGTGATTTCAACCACTAGAGGCCGCTCTCGCACTGTGTAATGACAGCAGACCCTTCTCAGCCGCTCCAGCAACGGACGCAACCCGGAAAACTATCGGCATGGATTTTTGTCGATAACCGATAGTTCCAGCAATCAACTATCGGTGCCGATTAATCGGCAAAACCGATACATCGGTCGACCTCTAGTGAAAACACAGAACTGGGGAAGAAATACAAGTTCAAAATAAATAAATAAAACAAACAAACTTATCAAAGTTTGATTTCGATGACGCCTTTTATTGTTAAAGTTTAAATAAATTGTTAAATTGCAAAAGTTGATCATGAAATCAATTAAAAAGATATACTTTCTGATGATTAAAATGTAATTTAGACATTAAGACGGAATACAGGAACATTAAAATTCATAGAATTAGGGAAAAAAATAAAAGTTTGAAAATGAAGAAAAAAATCTCAACGTTTGATTTCAAATGCCCCTCATTTTTATGAAATCAATCCATGAAATATACTTTCTGGTTAAAACAGGTGCAAGTGTTACAAGTGCACAAATAATAGTGTCTTTAGGCATAAAAGTACTTTTTTTTCTGCAGACGGTGAATCAGTTGGCTCACGCACTACATATGGATGAGAGTCTGGATGCCGGCTGTCTGGTTAAAGTGTTCTGGCCCAAAACAAAGTGTGCTCTGCTCAGAGACGACCTGGTTCTGGTGGACAGGTACGCTTCAGTCCCACGAAAAGCCACGTTTGTATGTTTAACATGCAGTAAATTCATCTGAAGAATGAAGATCCACCCATAATTACAATCCTAGTGTTATCAAGCTGTCAGCAGTGACACATCCTGAATATAATTGATTATAATCGGGTGACTGACTTATTATTTTAGTAGATATACACTACCGTTGAGAAGTTTGGGATCTGCATTAAAAAAAAAAAAAAAAAAGTATTTTCAGCTCACCAAGGCTGCATTTATTTGATCAAAAATACAGTAAAATTTTGAAATATTATTCACAATGTAAAATACGTGTTTTCTATGTGGATATATGTAAAGTATAATTTATATCTGTGATGCGCAGCTGAATTTTCAGCACCATTACTCCAGTCTTCAGTGTCACATGATCTTCAGAAATCAGTATAATATGCTGCTTGAGAAACATTTCTGATTATTATTAATGTTGAACACAGTTGTGCTGCACAATATTTTGGTGGAAACAGTGATGTATTTGATTTTTCAGGATTCTTTGATGAATAGAAAGTTAAAAAGAACAGCATTTATTTAAATAGAAATCTTTTGCAACATTATAAGTGTCTTTACTGTCACTTTTGATTAATTTAACTCCAAACTTTTGAAGTATCGTGTATATTTTTGTGATGTTTTCTTTCAGTCCTGGCACTGACGTCACCACACAGCTGGACAGCTGGATCAAAAAGTTCTGTCTGGATGCGGATGTGTTTGTGTTGGTGGCCAACTCTGAATCTACTCTAATGAACACGGTGAGTCGTTAGCATGCAGTGTGTAAAGCGTGAGAAATGAACACTGCATTATGAGCAGTCCAACATTAGTCAGACCGGTCTGGAGCGGCTGTGAAGTGTTTATAGTGTGCTAAAATGGGAAAGTATACAGAAGGGGTTGCTCAGAGTTTGTTTGCATGCCGTTCAGAAGAATGCAGCGCTGCGTTTAGACTGAACTCTGCTCGTACCCACATGCGTGCTATCCCAAGACGCTTTGGTGGATTTCAGGGCCGCTCTCTAAAGGGCATATAAACGCCCCGTTATAAATCATCAGAACTTTTCTCCATGGAAAAACATGACAAAACCAAACTAGCTTTTTGTATTTATTGTCTTA